TAGTCCCACTATCATTGATTCAATCTTGTCTTTAGTTATCTGTTCTAGAACGTGTAGGGTCCTTCTTATGTTGTCTAAAGTTTGTCAGTTGTTTAATTTCTCCTTTGTGGTTAAGATTACCTTTATTGCTATCAGCAATTTGTAACTGGTATAGTTCCCTCCACACTATAATGCCCAGCTCGTCCATAAAAGATTTCACTTTCTTAATCATGGGTCTATTCTGAATAGCTGCTCCTGACGAATCCAATGCTGGGTTTAGCCTAATATTAAAATCCCCACCACAGATTACCACTCCCTGAGAGTTGACCATTAGGTTAAATATACGTCTATAGAATAGATGTTATTTCAGTCCCCTCTATTCTCCCTGTGATGGTTATAAATCTCCCCTCTTTGTCTTTGGTCTCTGAAAGATGCTCATAGTTAAGTGTATTTGATATAAGGATGGCAACTCCTCTTCTGTGGCCCAGCTTATATGATGAGTAAAATACACGTTGGAAGCCTAACCTTTTTAATTTTTCATGTTCGGATTGACTCCTATGTGTTTCTTGGAGGAGAGCTACCTGGGCCTTCTCTTTTTTTAATTTTGACAAAATCTTAGTTCTTTTAACTGGATTCAGAACCCCATTAACGTTAAATTAAATTATTTTCACAGGTCCATTATGCATTTTGTTTAAACTGAAATAAATGATCACTCTTCCCTTCAAAATAAACAGTAAGTAATCCCTTCTCAACCAAGAAAACAAAACCAGTAACCAGAACTACAACAAGGAAAATCTTGAACATTAAACAAGGCGACTTTTCATCATACTTCCAACAGTGAGGTCTCTTCGTAGACCTGTCTGACTCTGAGGGATAACCTCTGTATCCTAACTGGACTAGAGGGCCCTCAGTCTTGATAGCAGTCGTGATAGGAACCCTCTTTTTTTATATATATATGTATATGTCTCGACCGTATCACTAAGATTTACATTATTTCGTCTAATGTATTTTCTTCATAATTATGAACGTATACCTGATCCTCACCAGTCTTAAATCAGTCTGTGTTCTCCGTTTATTCACGTCTGAAAACTTGCAGCTTTTCCCTGTAACTTGCTCCGCTGCTCCGAGGAGTGCGCCGAGTTCTCGCCTGCTGCCATGACCACCGCTGGATCCTCTCCAGAAGCGATTTCGGTTCCGTAATTACTTTCACTGGCAATCCCCGGGCTGCTAGTTCTGTGTTGCCTCCGCCACCGTCTCGTAGGTTTTAGTGCCATCCTTGTAGAAAACTTTGAGTTGGGCTGGGAACAGGGTTTGAAATCTTATGTTATTTGCCTTCAGGACCCTCCGTGCCTCCGCGTATTCCCTTCGTTTGGCCAGAATGGCCGGTGCATAGTCGTGGTCGAGGCTAATTTTGCAGTAATTCCATGTGAAGCCTTTCTTTTGCCATGCAAGTTTGAGCACCTCTTCTTTCGTTCTAAAACTGAGAAATTTGACGAGAATCGATCTTGGCTGGGCGCCGACCGGGGGCTGTGGCGCTAATGCTTGGTGGGCTCTCTCTATTTGTAGATCCTTCATGTCTAGGATATCATGGTTCTCTCTAAGCAGCTTCTCCATGAATGAGATCACTGATGTGGGACCACTTTCAGCTCCCTCGGGTACTCCGTATATCCTCACGTTTTCCCTCCTTGAGCGCCCTTCTTGGTCCACTAACTTCGACTGGAGCTGCTCTTGTATTTTTAGCATTTCTGCTAGTGCCTCCTCCGTACTCTGTAGCCTCTCCTCATTCACCACAATCCTCGCCTTAGCTTCATCCATCCTCAAATTAGTCTTGGCTATTTCTCCTTTGATATCTTCAAATTCTTTTTTGTTGTCTTGTCTGAACTCCCGTATCTCTTTGAGGATCAGAGCTAGGTCCGCTGATTTTTCTCCGACATCCCCTCGGTTGCTATTCGTGGGAAGGCTAACGTTAGCCTTAGCTTCCACCTGTTGCTGCATCTCGTTAGTTTTATCGAGGTTCCGAGCGGGCGTTTTACCTTTATTTTTAGACGTCATCCTCACCCCTTTTATGGATTTACATAAGATAATTCACAACTTCTTACATTTCGACTTTGGGGCAACTTTTTTTTACACTTTAGTCGAGAGACCCCGAACCGGAAGCACAATTCAATTTATTTCAATTCAATTTTATTTGTACAGCACCAACCAATTCATAACAGAAGTTATCTCAGGACACTTTTCAAATAGAGCAGGTCTAGACCAAACTGTTACTATTCGTCTTAACTCCTTGGAGTCCCTTATAAAATCTTGAAATTAATTTAAGCCCTGAGTCTGCTCTGTAGGCACTAATAAACATTTTTAACAATTCATTCTCAAATACTTTTTGGCTCTCCGGAATAGAACTATTAATGTGATGACGAACCTGAAGATATCTAAAGAAGTCACTATTGTTTAAACCATGTAGTCTCTTCAATGCGTCAAAACAGTTCACTGTCCTCTGATTAAAAAAGGTGCAGTATGAGGAGAGACCCAGCTTAACCCATCTTTTATAGCTGAGTTCTATCTAGTTTATTTGGTATAAAGTCGGGGTCATGTGAGCAGCATCTCAGAATCTTTATTTCTTTCCACAAGCTGCTTTTACCTAACACTAACCCTGATATTCTTTCTTCAATTTCTTTCCATCTCGCCTGGTATTCAGAGTTGCACCAACAAAACAAGATCCTCAATTGGGCTGAAATATAACAATCTTTTAAGCATGGGAG